TTGATTTTGATTGGTGTTGGTTGTGGTTGTTGAATTACGTTATTGTTGAATTGGGTTCATTTCCCCTCCCCTTAGTTTTCCCAAGCTCGTTTCGGTTGAATGAATTATGGGTGTTCTTGAGCTGGGTTGTTGTATCGGGGCCGGCCTTTCCTATTGCGGTGTCAATTTGACGAGTAGTTCTGTAAATTTCGTGTCTCGAGCTGAGGAATTTTCTGGGTTTTGAAATTTGAACTCTGGTCCTTTGAAAAAATTTGAACTTTTTGGAGGTAAATGATTTTCGTTCTGGAGGGAAAAAAGGACGGTCAGCCAGTGGCGAACTGGCGATATTGATTGGGTTCAATCGTTCTTCTTCTGGGCTTTTGTTTGTTCCTTTCTTTCGGTTGGTGCTTATTATTTTTGGCTGTTCGGACGATGACAAGCCCAACCGGTGGTTATAGGAATTGTGGCAGTAGATCTGCTTCAACCCTTCGTTGACCCGGCTTAGCCTGTTTGCGAAGAGCTTGCCCACTTTACCCCTTAAAGTGCCACGTGGGGGCGCTAGTTGCGCCCTTGTTGTAATTACCGACCATGGGCCTACGCTTTTGGTAAACCACTTCTTTGGAAGGCCCGATAGTGATTGAGCTCGTGAGATAACTTGCTGATTGTGTTCTTCCTATTCCCTTAACTTGCATAGAAGGAAAAAGGCGGCGCCTTTAGGCCTGTGGATCACCCAAAAGCCGAGTCTTTGTTAAGTAATCTGTATGACTAAGACCTGCAGGCCCTTTGTATCTGTTTGCCTTTGTTCCTTTGTTTCTTTTCCCTCCCTTTCCTCAGTCTGTGTGTTCAACCTATGAGGCTTTTCTTAGCTCCTAGTTTCTTTGCTATCATAGGAATCAATCTTGATTCCGTTATGATCTTTTCGCTCTCGCAGTGGATGTTAAACGATCATTGTCTGTTCATTCACCTTTGTCTCCTAATGCGTTTGTCAAGTTTACTATAATAATGTGTTTAACCATCAAATGATCTATTTTAATGGTTGAGGAATGTTTTGACTTTCTTTCTTATCTGTGTACTCTGTGTATTTCTTTACCGCCTTGGTTGATGATGAGAATTTCCTGCTCACTTACAGCTACTGTGGAGTGAATTTCCTGCTCACTTACCGCCTTGGTACTTGGATAGCTTTGCTGAATGATGGAGTGAATCTGTGTTTTGTTCCATAAAGCAGGGTTTTGATTTTGTTGTGGGAGAATGACGACTCCTGAAGAAAGTAGTACTGTTCTATCAGACACTCCAGCTCCTGCTGTTGAGGAAAGCAAGCAGCCCTCATCCCCTGAAGAGGGAGAAAAGAGTGTAGCAGAGCCTAAAGAGAATAATCAGCCATTGCAATCACAAGATGACACAATGGTGTCAAAGGAAGAGGATAATGAAAAGGTGGTGCCAAAAGTAGAGGACAACCAAAAGGTGGCGACTCAAGAAGTGGATAATCAAAAGGTGGCACCGCCAGAAGACGGCAATGAGATGGAGTCACAAGAAGAGAAGAACCAGGAAGTGGCATCTCAAGAGGGCAACAATAAGGTGGAGTCACCAAATCAGAATAATGAAGTGGTATCTCAAGAAGAAGATACAAATCAGAAGGCTGTAACTGAGGAAGTGAGCAACGATCAAACAGATGTATCACAAGATCAGAGTAATGAGACATCAGTACCAGATGAACAGAGCAATCAGGAGTTGCCATCACATGAAGAGAACACCCCGGAACCGGTTCCACACGAAGAAGATAGCAGTCAGAGGTTATCGCCCCAAAAAGAGCAGGATCAGACATTGGTATCACCGGAAGATATCGATCAGATGGCTGTACCCCAGCACGAGAACAGTGAGATGGTAACTGAAGAGGGGAACAGTAAGTTGGCTGTGCCCCTGCAGGAGAACAGTGAGATGGTGGTGCCGCAGGAGGAGCTCAATGAGACGGTTGTGACCGAGGAGGAAGACAGTGAGATGGCAGAGCCTCCTCAGGAGAGCAGTCAGATAGGGTTGCCCCAGGAGAAGAGTGAGATGGTGGCGATAGAAGAGGAGACGAGTGAGCTGGCGGCCCCTCAGGAGGATATCAATGAGATGGGTGAACCTGAATTAGAGAGTAGTGAAGGTTCGGTGCCCCAGGAGGATCACAATGAAGTTGTGGTGACTGAAGAGGAGAAGAATGAGGTGGTAATGCCCCAGCAAGAGAACAGTGAGATTATGGTGCCTGAGGAAGCGAACATTGAAGTGGCGCCCCCCCAGGATGACAACACTCAGTTGGTGGTGCCCCAGGAGGAGAGCACTCAGATGCTAACACCACACGAGGACGACAACACACAGATAGACACTCAAATGATAGATGAAGACACCACTACTCAAATGATACCGTCTAACGAGGATAACAAGCCTCAAATGATGATTTCGCACGAGGACAACAGCAGCCAATTGATGATGACAGATGAACACCACATGGTGGTGTCTCATGAAGAGAACCACCACCAGATGCTGATGTCACATGAAGAGAACAACAATGATCAGATGGTAGACGGCAACCATCATCACATGGGTGACCAGCTAATTGTGATGGAAGAAGATAGCCACAACAACCAGCTGATGATCCATCATCATGATGAGGAAAACAACAATCAGTTGATGCTCCCCAATGATGACGACAACAGCGACCTGGTAACTCCCGACTCCCGGCCCAACAAGCGAAGGAGGAAGAAATCCGTTGTCTGGGAACACTTCACCATTGAGACAGTTGGGGATGGTTGCAGAAGAGCTTGTTGCAAGCAGTGCAAGCAGAGTTTTGCATATAGCACGGGTTCCAAAGTCGCTGGGACCAGTCACCTCAAGCGCCACATAGCAAAAGGCACTTGTCTAGCCTTGCTCCGAAACCACGGACATCCTCAAATGCTGTCGTATAATGATACCCCTGGAGGTGCAACTAGCAACCCACCAAAACGCCGATACAGATCACCCAACTCTTCCTCTTACTTCCCCTTTGACTCTGACCGATGCCGCCATGAGATTGCAAAGATGATCATCATGCACGACTACCCGCTTCACATGGTCGAACATGCCGGATTCATGACTTTCGTCTCAAACCTCCAGCCTCGATTCGGAATGGTGAGCTTCAACACTGTCCAGGGAGATTGTGTTGCTACGTACCTGAGGGAGAAGCAGAACGTTATGAAGTTTATTGAAGGACTCCCTGGACGCGTTACCCTTACACTGGACATGTGGACTTCTTGTGAAAGCATAGGCTATGTGTTCATCACTGGGCACTTCATTGATAGTGATTGGAAGCCGCAGAAGAAGATGCTGAATGTAGTGATGGAGCCCTATCCTGATTCAGATGCTGCCCTAAGCCATGCAGTGGCGTGTTGCCTTTCTGATTGGAGTTTGGAAGGTAAACTGTTCTCTGTTACCTTTAACCATCCTGTTGGAGATGCTGGTCTCGAAAGTCTTCTATCTTTGTTGTGTATCAAGAATACGCGGATTCTCAACGGTCAGCTGGTGCTTGGCAACTGCATCTCACACACCTTGACCAGCATGGCGAAAGAGTTGTTGTCAACGTGTCGAGATCTTGTGTCGAAAATCCGCGACAGCGTGAAGTACGTGAAGACCCTCGAATCCCACGAGGACAAGTTTCTCGAGCTCAAACGGCAACTGCAAGTCCCATCGGACAAAAGCCTCCAACTTGACGACCAGAGTCAGTGGAACACGACGTATGAAATGCTTCTAGCTGCTTCGGAATTGAAAGAAGTATTTTCATGCTTGGATACCTCTGATCCTCACTACAAGGAAGCACCATCAATGTTGGAGTGGAAGCAAGTTGAAATGATATGCTCAATACTGAAACATCTGGTCGATGCAGCTAACCTTCTCTCATCCTCGACCAACCCAATTGCAATCACTTTCTTCCATGAAGCCTGGAGGATTCAAGCTGAGCTCTCTAAACTTGCTGCTATTGGTGATCCTTTCATCAACAATTTCATCAAAGAACTGCAGGACAAGATCGAGAAATATATCAAAGATTGCAGCTTGGCTTTAGCAGTTGCAGTAGTGATGGACCCTCGGTTTAAGATGAAGCTGGTCGAGTTCAGCTTCTCCAAGATATATGGTGACGATGCTCCCGCATACATAAAGATCGTCGACGACGGGGTCCACGATCTGTTCAAGGAGTACGTGGCACTGCCTCTACCGCTGACACCAACATACGAAGAAAATGCAGACCCCAACCTAAGGAATGAAGAGAACCAGCAGGGGGCAGTTGTGGACAACGGGCTGGCAGATTTCGATGTGTATATCATGGAGTCCACGAGCCACCAGACGAAGTCGGAGCTGGACATGTACTTGGACGACTCATTGCTCCCGAGAGTGTCTGATTTCGACGTGTTGGGATGGTGGAGGCAGAACAAGATGAAGTATCCAACACTGTCGAAGATGGCTCGTGATATACTGAGCATTCCGGTGTCTACTGCAACTGCGGAGAACGTATTTGACACTGTGCTGCCGAGAGAGGTGGATCGGTACAGGAGCTCGTTGAGGCCCGAGACTGTCGAGGCACTCGTGTGTGCTAAAGATTGGCTTATTCATGGTGCTGCTGCAGAAGCAGAAGGTGGTGCGCCGAGTGTTGGAGTGGTGAAGATGGAGCTTTAGGTTTGCTAGGAGTGTATGAGAGAGATGTGAGTAATTGTTACGGCTCCTGTCTTTTGTATCATCTGTTGGACCAGGTAGTAATGTAGGATGGGTGCTGGATTTGGGATTTGTAGTTTTGATCGTAGGAAGCTGTAATTCATTTGCTAATGGCGTTGTTAGGGTTTTCTTACGCTTGTGTAGCTAATGGTTAACCCAATGACTTGTTATCTCTGTTTTTGTCTCTTTAACCATTATTGTTTTTGGTTAAGCTATGAGCTAAAATAGTGAATATATTTGTATGTGTAGTATCTTCTTACTTGGTACTTGTTTGACAGATGATGTGATCTGGATTCTGGAAGTCAATGAGGAGAGCTGAGGAAATGAAGAACCTGAAGAAGGATGTCCAGAAGAAGGGCACGACTACTACTACTACTACTACCCAAAAAGATGTATCAGCCATGGCTGGAAGTTTAAAGAAGAAGGCTAGCGGATCTGATGAAGAACGTGTCTCGGCTACCCACAGTCAGGTTGATGAGAAGGAAAACGATGACGAGGTTCAGTGGCACGCTGAAACATCTGCGGAGGCAGTTCCTTGGCGCATCCAGGAACAATTGAGTTCTGCTACTGCTGAAATGGTTATGCTTTCTACCATTGATACGGGGAAGAAGGCCAAAGAAACAGCAAAAGCAAATGGCAGCAGCCTGGAAGTTGCTGTTTCTCCTAGAGCCGAGGAGAAATTGATATCGAAAGAGAACGAGAAGACGAGTTCTGTCAGGACTCTAGCCAACGAGTTAAAGGAAAGCATTGGTAAAGGAATCGCTCCAGGCCAGCTGCCTGGTCTTCTGGATTCACTGCCTGATTTGGATAAAGGAAAAGATGGATGCTTTGCTTATGGCTTTGTTCGAGGGCAAGGGACTCGCGAAGGAAGCTGCCAAGAAGAAGATGTATCTGGCTGCTGCCATTGTAGCCCAAGGTGGAGATTCCACAGTTGCTTCTACTTGGTTCCATCCAGGGTTTCTTTCAGGAATCTTGTTCAGGTGTGGAAGTGGCTGTTGCTCTCATAGCTCTCTATGACGCTGGTGTTTTGGAGGATGAGCAGATTCTTGCATTCTGCAGTGGTACGGAAATCTCTCAATGGAGGCGACAAGGAATCTCAGATTCTGAAAGAGTGTTCAGCCGTTTGTTGAATGGCTGCAGAATGCTGAATCTGAGACAGAAGAGGAATGATTTGCAGGGTGTCCTGTCAGTTGTCGTAATCATTTATGCTGATGTTTGGACTTTGGAGTCGGCAGTTGTCTTCAAGAATAAAGTGTCTTTTGGGTTTTATGGGAACATTACACTTGTGTGTGCCTTTTGTTATTTCGAAATTCTTTCATAAATCCTGTTTGGGGTTTGGATTGGAATAATGATTGTGTTTTCTTCTTCTTAAGCATTGATATATGTCCTAAGCTATGGTTAGTGACAGTGTAGCCAGAATTTAAGCTAAAGTTTAAAAACATTGTATCAAATTGTAGATACATTTCTTTTAATATTATACTGAATAACATAATCATTAATCAAATGAATTGTTATTTTTAGACCTTTATCAAATGCTTTCTCTAACAAATGAAAGTAGGCCGGTTGCAAACAAGTTGCATAACTTATTTGTAATGAAAGTATAAATGAAAAGTAATATTTTTTATAGTTAAAGTAAGTTTACTAGCATATAATAATTAAATATATTCATGTTATAGATGTTGAAGAAAATTTTATCGAAATGACACGAATATAATGCGCTGAAATATCTTCTTAGTTACAAGAAGGACAAACTTTTGTATATGTAGTACAATAAGAGATTTTTGAATTAGAATTAGAAGATCAATGATTTTTGAATTTTTTCCTGATCGACCAAATGTCCTCTACATCTCCCTCCGCCAATCACTATGGTAGAAGTAATCATTTTCGTATAACCATGATCCTCGCTACAATTAAGCACCATAAATATTTTGCTCAATCTCAAGCAAGAGCAAAACGTAAATTCTACTCATAAGTAGTATCGATCTCAAGTAAATTGCAATGTTTGATTCTCCAGGAACCTCAGAAACTGCGAGTGGCCTTGAACCTAATGAAAATTTACTTATATAAGTAGCGTAGATCTGAAGTAGAATAAAAATATAAAATGCTTGACTGTCGTTAAACCTCAAGAATTGGGAGCAACCTCGAACTCGTAATGTGTTAACCCCGCAACCCTTTATGCTTAATTGTCATGCATTTGGAAAAAGTATTAATTGGGGGAGCAAAGTTTCCATTAATCTTAAGACTTCCCGAAAAAGAAAAACAAACATTCGCCAAATCTAAAACTCAGGTTCCAGTCCAGCTCACACACACCCACGTGGAGCGAACCCGATCCGCGACCCGGCCAAATCGAACACCACCCGGAACCCTTGCTGCTGAATATTCCCGATGATCGACAACCCGCCCATCGTCCCCGCGAAAGCGAAGCAAAACGTGCCGGCGGTGTCCACCGGGACGAGGTAATTCGCCGCCGGCAGCGACACATCGGCGCCTCGGAAGTGCAGCACCACCGTGGGCACCTTCACCTCCGTCTTCCCCGAAAGATCGAAGCACGTGTCGAACAGGGAGAAGTCCGGCGCCCGCTTCAGCGTAGCGGCGCCGACCCGAAACGCGTCGCGGAGCGACACGTAAGCAGGTCGGGTCAGCCTCGTGACCGAGGTGCCCGAATCGACGATCACCCCACCGTTCCCGGCCGGGTCGAGCTTGAAAAGCTCGGCCCGGATCCCGGGGACACGCGTCCCGCCCACGCTGATCCCGAGCAGCTCCACGTAGTAAAACGTGTCGAGGCTCGGGTTCGAGACCAGCGGGGTGAACCGGGCGGTCCGGGAAACCGCCCGGTCCCCGAACACCATCGACGACGGCTTCGAAGAAGCCGAGCGGTCCACCAAGCAGTACGAGAACTTCCGGTTGAACCGCCGGCCCGTCTGCGAGGGGAAAGACAGTTTCCCTCTCCCCAGCCCCATCAAACCCGCCGCACCGACGAAAAGCCCCTCGTTGTCGTGGCCGCACCCCACCGCCACGCGCGGCACGCGCGTCCGGCGGAACGTGAGCGTCTCGGTGGAGAAATCGCCGTAGGTAAACGAGCCGTCTCCGTAGGAGACCTGATACAAACAGGTCTGGTTCCTCGAATTGCAGCCCGGAGAGTCCAGCCGGCGGCAGAGCGGCGCGTCGCAGGGGATCCGGGAGTAGGAGCTGGATCTCCTCGGGTCGAAAACCGGATCCGCCTGGGAGTAGCACTTCTTGCACGGCGCGCACTGCAGCCAAACGACGTCGCTTCCTGTATCCAAGACCATGTACACATTCCTCGGCGGAGTCCCGACGCCGAGGCGCGTGAAGTACTCGCCGCTCCCCTGCGCGAGTCCGGAGATTACCGAGCTGCTGAATCCAGCTCCCGCTCCAGCTCCGCCGCGTCCTCCGGCAGCAGCGGATACGACGGATTGGATGGTGTCGACGCGGGAAGCATCTCGGAGGAGCCTGGAGTGGAAGAGCTCCTGTGGAGTTCTGTTGGAGGACAGAGCATCGATATGGTGGAGCTGCACGGTGAAAATGGAGGCGGCGGCAGCGGCGGTGTCTGGAGATTGTAGATCTCCGGTGGCAATTGAAGCTAGGGGCTGGGATTCGTCATCGGCGTCGGACCAGGAGAGGGATTGAGGAGGGGAAGGGAGGCGATTGAGGATTAGGGTTTGAGATTTGGGGAGTGGGGCCGGGAGGGATGGAGTGAGGGAAAGGAAGAAGGCGAATGCAATCAAGAGGAAAGGGACAACGCTCGGTTTTCGATCCATGGGAGGGAAGCGGGAGTATGGAGCGATAATTGCGCAGGGAGTGTATAAATAATGTGGGCGGAGCGGTGGGATTTTGATAAATGAAGTCACGGGATTTTTGTAGGGTGCGGTGGCGGCACTGGTGCGGGGAATGGGCTGACCATAAAAATCAAACCGAGTTGGTACGGAATGGGAATTTTTGCGCCGCTGATTTCGGTTCGATTGACAATCAAGGCTGGTGGTGGTGGCCAAAGAACAGAACCTTTCCTTGTCGAGTTCACACAACATCTAGCCATAATAAGACCAACAAGAAAAGAATGGTTCCATTTTGCATCTACATGTGCAAAGCCTTATTTTTTCAAAATCAGGAGTGTGATGGGAATTGGATTCCTAGCTTTGGAGGTGTTACGCCAACTACATTTGTTATTAGAATATATATCAAAACAACTCGAGTTTTTGAGATCAATTAATTTGTTTGGATGATATAATATATTTTTATAATCAATAGGTCGTTTGTTTGAATTTCGATGATTTCATTAGTTAGTACCTTAGTACATGATGCAAAACTAGCAATGATAGTTTCTTTTTTATGTAATGGCTGGCGGCTTGACAACTATTTCTCGCCTGTTTCGACAATGTCCCCCCGGCTTCTCAATGGTGTTTGTTGGAATTTATTTTTATAGCTCCTAACAAAAGAGGGCTAACCAGGTTGGTTACTAGGCTGAACCAATATTTCATTAAATGGGAGATATAAAATCAAGGACAGTTATATAATCTTAATATTTATGACGGTTTCAAAAGTATTGTGTACCATAGTCCTGGGTCCTGACTCTAATAAATGGAAAACTTAATGACCCTTATTTTCCAAATCCACTTTAGGGAACCTATTAATTGGGGGGACCAAAGCTTTCCCCATTCCTCTAGTTAATTACTTAATTACCAAAATCAAAACCCTCAACTAATTATAAGAAGAAGAGAAGGATTTCCTGGTCCATCACGGATTCGGCCACTTCAGCCCACAAAAGTGGTGATCCATTAAATTTACCCCTAATCCGAAGCTAACGAGAAATCCAAATCCCGAATAGCTCCATTAACTAAAACGGGCCGTTACCTTTCTTGGGCTTCCCTGGACGAGTTTCGCTTACAGTGGACACGCGAACTTCTCGTGAAGGCTTAGGCTGCTACGTGCTCATCACTGGCCACTTCATCGATGGTGATTGGAAGCCACAGCAGAGGAAGCTGAATGTGGTGATGGTGCCCAATCCTGATTCAGAATCTGCCCTCGCCAACGCAGTGTTGCGCTGCCTTTCCGATTGGAACTTGGAAGGTAAACTGCTCTCTGTCACATTAAACCATCCAGCGGCGGGAGAAGCTGCTCTTCAAAGTCTTCAAGCACTGCTGTCTGTCCAGAATGTACTGATTTTCGACGGCCAGTTGGTGCGCGGCAGCTGCATCTCTCGCACCCTGACCAGCATGGCGAAGGAGTTGTTGTCAGCGTGTGGAGATCTCGTGTCGAAAATCCTTGACAGTGTGAAGTACGTGCTGACCGAGGAGTCAAAGGAGTTGGAGTTTCTCGACATCAAACAGCAGCTGCAAATGGCGACGGACAAGAACCTCAGGCTCGACGATCAGAATCACTGGAACACGATGTTGGAAATGTGTATGAATAGCTTTGAAAGCTATAGAATCTCAAGTGGAAAAACTACCACATTGGTAGTTTTACTTGGTGAAATGAGTATAAAGATAGGAGCCTCTCTCTTAAGGGCATGCCCCTTGGGGTGACCTACTTTTGTGGGAGAGGGAGGACCTAATGGACCACCACACACGCGCGCCGTCCGTCCGTCCGCCCGGTCAGTTGGATGGATGGATCACTTGAGACTATATACATATTTTTTGGAGAAATTCCGAACGAAATTAATTATTTAATAATTAATTATTAATCGGTTATTCTAAGGAATATTCCAAGGGATAATCGATTGAAAAGGAATATTCGAAGGATAATCTCCGCAGGATTTATTCCCAAGCAAGAGGGTATATTCCTAGGGGTTCGGCTCCTATAAATAGCCGCCTCCCCAGCCCCTCTAAACACACCACAACGAGCATAAACACAATAGAGAGAGTGTTCAGAGAGCTCCGGTTTTCGCACAAAATCGCGAGTACACAGAGGAGCTGTTTTATCCTGGAGACGACCGGTTGATAGTCTGCCGTGCGCATCGAGGGCAGTGCCGCGAACGTCTTAAAGAGAGCGACATAGTCCGCGACTCAGCTCCAGATTCGGTATCCTTGGTCTTGTTGTTGTTCCGTTTCTAACAATTTTAAGACGTTCGGCTGCTGCTATGTCGACTGAACAGAACAACATGGCCGGATCTGGTGCTGTCGATATCAATCGACCGTTTCGCTTCGTTGGAGTCAACTTTCGTCGCTGGAAACAAAAGATGGAGTTTTACCTGACGACCAAGAAGTTGGCACACTGCCTCACTAGCATGCCCGTCGAGCTGCCGGAAGAAGCGACCGATGAGGAGAGGACTGCTGCTGCTAAGGAAAGGGAGCATGACTTCCTATGCAAGGGCTACATCCTCAACGGCCTGGCAGACGACCTCTACGACTACTATGCGGACAGCAAGAACACCGCAATGATGGTCTGGGATGCGCTCCAAAAGAAGTACGACACGGAGGAGGCTGGAGCTAAGAAGTATGCTGTCAGCCGCTACCTGCGCTACCAGATGGTGGACGACAAGTCCTCTCGAAGTTCAGTCCCACGAACTTCAGAAAATAGCTCACGAGATCGTCTCTGAAGGTATGCCTCTGGACGATCAATTTCAAGTTGCTTGCATTATTGATAAGCTGCCCCCTTCGTGGAAAGATTTTAAGAATATGCTTAGACATAAAACCAAAGAATTTTCACTGGAAAGTTTGATTACTCGCCTAAGGATAGAGGAAGAGTCCCGCAAGCAGGATATGAAAGAAGAGGTGATGGTCGTCACTGCTAAACGACCCACCCCTAGAGCTCTTAAACCTAACCAGAAAGGGTTTAAGGGTAAGAACCAGCAGGTCCGCCCCCACCAGAATGGTGCCTCTCGAGGTAACCAAAGGGTCATGGCCCAAACCTCTAAGAATGACCAACCGTTTATCTACTTTAACTGCGGAAAACCGGGTCATATGGCAAAAAAGTGCAGGAACAAGCATAACCCCGCCGCTGCGGCCAGGGTTAACTTGACAGAAGAGGATTTGGTAGCCATGATCACAGATATGATCGCTGAAGTTAACCTCACCGGTGACTCAGAAGGATGGTGGCTGGATACAGGTGCATCGAAGCATGTATGCAACAATCGTGCTATGTTTAAAACGTACGAAGAAGCACCTGCTGACAAGAAAGTGTTGTTGGGGACTACTCACACCACTATGGTTGCTGGTTCTGGTGAAGTGGAGCTGAACTTCACCTCTGGGAAGAAGATGGTGCTCAAGGATGTGTTGCACACTCCAGAGATAAGGAAGAATCTTGTTTCGAGATATCTTCTTAATAAGGCTGGGTTTAATCAATCTATTGGGGCAGACTTGTATACCCTTACTAAGAATGGGAGTTTTGTGGGAAAGGGATATGCATGTAATGGGATGTTCAAGTTGAATGTGGAAATTAATAAGATGAATTCTTCAGTTTACATGGTGTGTGATTTGAATGTTTGGCATGCTCGTCTTTGTCATGTGAACACACGAATTGTGAAGAATTTAAGCAAGCTAGGGCATATCCCTAAACTCTCAATGAATGAATTTGATAAATGTGATTTCTGTAGCCAAGCTAAAATAACGAAAACGCCCCATAAATCTGTGAGTAGAGAATCAGAACCCTTAGATCTGATTCATTCTGATATTTGTGAACTAGATGGGACGTTAACTAGGTCTGGCAAGAGATACTTTATCACTTTCATAGATGATTGCTCTGATTATAGCTTTGTTTATTTGATGAAAAACAAAAGTGAAGCCCTTGACATGTTCAAGGTATTTGTGGTTGAATTCGAAAATCAGTGCAATCGAAAGATAAAAAGACTTAGGAGCGATAGAGGATCAGAGTATGACTCTAATCCCTTCAAGGAATTCTATAGCTCACATGGTATCATTCATGAAACCACGACACCATATTCACCAGAAATGAATGGTAAAGCTGAGCGGAAAAATAGGACATTTACAGAATTAGTTGTGGCTATTATGCTCAATTCTGGAGCTGCTTCTTCTTGGTGGGGTGATATTTTGTTGACGGTTTGCTATGTGCTAAATCGTCTTCCAAAAACAAATAGAAAAGAATCACCCTATGAGATCTTGAAGAATAAGCCACCTAATCTGTCCTATTTAAGAACGTGGGGCTGTTTGGCCTACGTAAGAATTCCTGATCCTAAGAGGGTTAAGTTGGCTAGTCGAGCATATGAATGTGTCTTTGTTGGCTATGCGGCCAATAGTAAGGCATATAGATTCTATGATTTGAATGCTCGTACAGTAATAGAATCCATTGATGCTGATTTCTTTGAGACACGATTTCCATTTAAAACGAGAAATAGTGGGGGTAATGTACTACCCGCTATTAGAGATAACGGAACAAGTGGGGGTGTTGGATCTGAGGATGAACTCAGAAGAAGTAAAAGAGCTAGAATCTCTAAAGATTTTGGTGATGACTTTACTACAGTATACACCCTAGAGGATCCAAAAAGTTTGCAGGAAGCATTAACTTCCATAGATGCAGACTTTTGGAATGAGGCCGTTATAGATGAAATGGAATCGTTAGAGGCTAATAAGACTTGGCATCTAACAGACTTACCTCCTGGCTGCAAAGTCTTAGGTAATAAATGGGTTCTAAAAACGAAACGGAAACCTGATGGTGCAATCGAAAGGTTCCGAGCTCGCCTGGTAGTCAAGGGCTACAGGCAGAGAGAGAATATAGATTTCTTCGACACCTATTCACCAGTATCTAGAATAACATCCATTCGTGTCATGATTGCTCTTGCTGCCTTGAACAATCTCGTGGTACACCAAATGGATGTTAAGACTGCTTTTTTGAACGGTGATCTAGATGAAGAAATCTATATGGAACAACCAGAAGGGTTTGTTATCCCTGAAAATGCCTCGAAAGTCTGTAAGTTGGACAAATCATTATATGGTTTGAAACAGGCTCCAAAACAGTGGCATGAGAAGTTTGACACTCTCGTTCTCTCACATGGCTTTAAGGTGAATGAAAGTGACAAGTGTATTTACTGCAAGTCAGAGAATAACACTTGCACTATCATATGTTTGTATGTAGATGACATGTTGATATTTGGTACAAATATTCACGTGGTCAATGAAGCGAAAGCCATGTTAAAAGAGAGCTTTGAGGTGAAAGATCTGGGAGAAGCAAAGTTTATGCTTGGAATCCAGATAACTAGAACATCAAATGGTTATTCTCTAGATCAATCTAGTTACATAGAGAAGATCTTGAAGAAGTATAACTATTTCGACTGTAAACCTGCGTGTACTCCGTATGATGCTAGACTGCTAGTGTAAAGCTATTCAAGAACACTGGAGACAGTGTAAGACAAACAGAATATGCTAGCATCATTGGCAGTCTCCGTTATGCTGCGGATTACACTCGACCAGACATTGCATATGTCGTGGGGCTGCTTGGCAGGTTTAACAGCTGTCCTAGTAGAGAGCATTGGATTGCTATAGAGAGGGTCATGAGATACCTCAAGAGAACAGCAAACCTTGGTATACACTATCAAAGGTTTCCCGCTGTACTAGAAGGGTATAGTGATGCGGATTGGAATACCCTATCAGATGACTCCAAGGCAACCAGCGGATATGTTTTTAACATCGCTGGTGGAGCTGTGTCTTGGAAGTCAAAGAAACAAACAATCCTAGCTCAATCAACTATGGAATCAGAGATGATAGCACTAGCAACGGCTAGTGAAGAAGCAAGTTGGTTGAGAGGATTGTTGTCAGAGATTCCCCTATGGGAAAGCCCGGTCCCTCCGGTATTGATACATTGTGATAGTACCGCAGCTATCGCTAAAGTTGAGAACCAGTTCTATAACGGAAAGAAACGACAGATTCGTCGTAAGCACAGTACTGTTAGAGAACTCCTAACGATAGGAGCAGTGAGGGTGGATCATATTAGATCCGAACAGAATCTAGCTGATCCTTTGACGAAAGGATTACCTAGAGAGAAAGTCCAGAATACCGCCAAGGGTATGGGACTTATGCCTACCGAACCACGGACTACAAGTGATGGTAACCCGACCCAATAGACTGGAGATCCCAAGAAATGGGTTCAATGGGTAATAACAAGTCATGAGTAGTATGCGAAAAGTTCATGCATAATGAAGCATGAATCCCAAAGCAATGGAGGTTGAGTTAATAACTCTTAATGAGATCTATACCCTATGTGGGGTGGAGTACTTTACTTTGGGGGTACTCCTGATAGACTCACCTATGTGAATGTGGGAGTGGGGCCGCTCCCTATGGAACTTTGAGAGGCACAAAGTTGCTAGAGCGTTCACTAAACCAGGATAACGTGCATGGCCATAAACGCACGGGCTAAGAAGAGAACACAACTCAATGAAAAGATCCGGTGTGCTACACTGTCTGAGATAGGGTTCAAGACTACGAGTCACCCTTATGAAATCGGAAGTGTAACCACTACGCTAAGGTTCAAATCTTCGCGATACCTTAGCTTATGCCCGATCTTATGGAACTGTTAATGCTCAGAGATAGTTTCAAAACTATTCAAGTGGGGGATTGTTGGAAATGTGTATGAATAGCTTTGAAAGCTATAGAATCTCAAGTGGAAAAACTACCACATTGGTAGTTTTACTTGGTGAAATGAGTATAAAGATAGGAGCCTCTCTCCTAAGGGCATGCCCCTTGGGGTGACCCACTTTTGTGGGAGAGGGAGGACCTAACGGACCACCACACACACGCGCGCGCCGTCCGTCCGACCGACCGGTCGGTCGTTCGGTCGGTTGGTTGGATGGATGGATGGATCACTTGAGACTATATACATATTTTTTGGAGAAATTCCGAACGTAATTAATTATTAATCGGTTATTCTAAGGAATATTCCAAGGGATAATCGATTGAAAAGGAATATTCGAAGGATAATCTCCGCAGGATTTATCCTAACCGACGGTTTTAATTAAGGAAGTAATTATCTTCCTTAATTAATCCGACTTATTCCCCAAGCAAGAGGGTATATTCCTAGGGGTTCGGCTCCTATAAATAGCCGCCTCCCCAGCCCCTCTAAACACACCACAACGAGCATAAACACAATAGAGAGAGTGTTCAGAGACACGACGTATGAAATGCTCCTAGCTGCTTCGGAATTGAGAGAAGTGTTTTCGTGCTTGGAAGCTTTGGATCCTGACTACAAGGAAGCACCATGGATGCTGGAGTGGAAGCAAGTGGAAACAATTTGCTCAGTCCTGCAACTTCTGGTCGATGCAGCCAACCTTCTCGTCGTCGTCCTCCTCCTCCTCCTCGACCACCCCTGCTGCTCTAGCGTGCTTCCACAAAGCGTGGAAGATTCAATCGCAGCTCTCTAGGCTGGCTGCAATTGGCGATCCTTTCATCGACAGCTTCATCGGAGGATTGCAGGACAGGATCGAGAAGTACATCAAGGAATGCATCCTGGTTCTAGCAGCTGCAGTGGTGATGGACCCTCGGTTCAAGATGAAGCTGGTAGAGTTCAGCTTCGCGAAGATGTTCCTCCACGATGCTCCCACATATATCGAGATCGTGGGCGATGGGATTCGCCAGCTGTTCTGGGAGTACAAGGTGCTTCATCAGCTAGACGAAGAAAAAGCAGACCCCAAACTGGGGATTAATGTTGACATTATGGAGCCCAGGAGGTATCCGGTGAAGTCGGAGCTGGATGTGTACTTGGACGAAACATTGCTCCCGCGAGTGGCGGATTTCGATGTGTTGGGATGGTGGAAGCAGAACGAGGTGAGGTTTCCTGCTCTGGCGAAGATGGCTCGAGATGTGCTGTGCATTCCGGTGTCTGCTGCCTCGGCGGAGAGCTTGTTCGACACACGGTGCTTGCCGAAGGAGATGGAGTACGGGAGCTCGGTGAAGCCGGAGACGGTCGAGGCACTCGTGTGTGCGAAGGATTGGCTTCGTCGTGCGGCGGTGGCAGCGGCAGCAGCGGGTGGTGATAGGTGATGGGGCAGAGTGATTGAGTTGTGAAGATGGAGCTTAGGTTTGATTGGAGTGTGGAGAGTATGTTGTTGAGGAACCATTCATTGCTCGTATTTTTTTCATTGTTTTGTTTTTGTGATATATTTGACTATATTTTGGATTATATTATTTGCATCAATTTTGGGAATTATATATGGAATAACATTGATGTGGTTGATATTGATTAATATCGTGGTCATGCATCTCAATAATCAAGTTTTAAATTGCTAATCAAAAGGTAATATAGCATAGCAGAACTTCTTATAATCAGTGTGTATCTGAATTCTCAAATAGAGAGAATTGAGACTAGTTTCTTACCTGGTCTGTTGGCCGGAAAATTTCATTATCATTTATATCATCTATATGTTTAAATTATTTGAATCTTCTACATTTTTATACTCTCACTTTATAAGCGAGTATGCGATATGCCCATATTAAAAATTCTAAATACATAGCATACTCACCTATAATGCTATTATTCTCTAATAAAAAATCATATCGTGAAGGTTTATCACTTCCCATTTAGGATAACATATCAATATTTATCAACCAAGACACTCAAATTTATTATATTATACAACATATAACAATTCGTGATTCTCGAGTTATGACAAACTCTAAACCAATTATTGATACTTCAAATTATTAGATAAAGATACTTAATTAGTTGATAAATTTTGTTTATCCCAAGTAAAAATTGACACATATCCTACCCTTACGATGATCATATTCTCTAATCATGACTCATTTTCTTGTGAATGTTAATGAAGTCTCAATTGAGAATCTTATGTCAAATTTGTCCATCAAGACAATCAAATTTAGTATCTTATACAATATGTATCAATCACTAATTCTTGAAGTTTGAACTAACCCTCAACCCATGGTTGTTGTCTATATGTTGGTTTAGAATCTCAACCCAAGACACTCACACACACTATCACGGGTTCTTGTCTTGACATGGTCATTTAGTGTATAATTTTCCAACTTTTTTAATGTGCATTTGTAAAATTTTCTTTATTTTTGGTGTTTGGTTCATGAATCGTACTGGACATTGTACCGGAAAAGTCAGTGGTAGGGTATTAATGGCAAAATCTTGGTTCAACCACAGTTCAACCGTTAGTACCGTGAAATATCGCCTACCGGTTTAACCTCCGATAATGGTATTTTGTGGTTGAACCGCCGGTACGATACGGTTTCATGAAGTATTTCTGGAACAACATTTTTATTACTTATCTTAATAACTAATAAAGCATGTCTACAATGCACACGGATTTTAGATGCATTTAAACGGTGTATCGTTTGAATAATTAATTTATATTTTTTTTTAAAGTTTATTTTTATTAATTTTTTTCAAAATTCATACAACCATTATGACATTTCGCATACATATGGATTCGTGGATGTATTGTAGACACATCTATTGTTAATATCTAAGCATATATAAAGAGTTTTATTTACTTTTTAATCCTAATTAATACTTTTGAACTTTGCTCGTTCAATGGAATATGGAAGGAAAAAAAATTAGGAATTTGCTACGGTGACATGCATGTCACGGTAACATGCACTTTTTGGTCGACCTCATATAGGATTTGGTCGACCTAATATGTTGTTTCAGTGTAAAAGCAGAGTCATGGTGCTTACTTTGGAGATTCATATATTAGAATTGGCTAGATGAAAATTGGAGATTAAAGGCTTGTTTTGAAGCTGAAGTGTCCCTCTACACATTAAAGTACTTGGGAGCTCAATAGAAACTCCAGAAGACCATTTTTTAACCTAACCAAAAGGCTATGCCAAAACTGGGAAACTGCCTGAAAATGGCTAAGTCTAGCAACGTGCTTGTCAAGCCTAATTTGGAGCTCAATTTGAGAAGCATGGTTGCGAGTCAAGTCCAGGGGCCTCTACCACGTTAAATTACGTATTTTTTTTATACAAAGACAAGACATTGGATGAAAGATTGAATATCTTTAAGGCTTCAAACAAAAGGCTCGAAGTTGCTACGAAGGCTGTTTTTCTGGCAGCTTGCTTATGCTCGAAGTCTGCCAGAAAACAGCCTTCGTAGCAACTTCGACCCTTTTGTTTGAAGCCTTACAGATATCCAATCTTTCATCCAATGCCTTGAATTTGTATAAAAACATAACTAATTTAACGTGGTAGAGGCTCCTGGACTCGACTCGCATTCATGCTTCTCGAATTGAGCTCCAAAATAGGCTTCACAAACACGTTTCCAGACTTAGCCATTTCCAGGCAGTTTCCCAGTTTTGGCATAGCCTTTTGATGAGGTTCAAAAATGGTCTTCTGGACTTCCTATCGAGCTCTCAATCACTTCAATATGTAGAGGGCCACTCCAGCTTCAAAACAAGTCATTAGTCTTCAATTTCCATCTAGCCAATTGTATGATATGAATATCCAAAGTAGGCACCATGAACTGTTTTTATACTGAAACAACAGATTAGGTCGACCTGATCCTATATGAGGTCGACCGAATCCTATATGAGGTCGACCGAATTCTAAATGAGTTCGACCTAATCCTAATTGAGGTCGACCGGAAAGTGAAAGTCACCGTGACATGCATGTCACCGTAGGCACACCCAAAAAATTATGGCTAGGATAACTCGATCTAAATACAAATTGCATACTGTTACAAAGTAAAATATTTCTGTTTGGACACTTTGATTTCAGAAGAATTTTGTTATTGCCAAAATTTGATATAGAGTCACAGTCTCACAACCGTACTACGAAATGACTTCTTACAATTGCCTTGTTGAACTCATTCTTATTAAAGATTCTTCATTTTTAACCCAATAAATCGGTTTAGAATTTTGTAACTATAAATGCTTTTGGTGATGATATCTCAACCAATAAACATATGTTTAGTTATTGTATTAATCCTCAAATTTATATTTTTTTACCAATAAATTCAACTATTAAACGAAAATTGTCAGACTTTGTTTGATCAATGCCTAGTCTGGCCAGTGGTTGATGATACGTATCTTCTACAAATACTTCTCTAACATTCGCATGTGTCATAGAATACGTCTACATCGTCAAGTTTCTATCAAGATCTTTTGTTATATAATACTTGCTTTATTTGATAGACGTATACATTAAAGATGAGAGAATGTTTGATAGTTAAAAATACAAATATTATAGTTCATTTTTGAAAGTCGATTGATCGTCAAACAATTGTTTTCTCTGTTTACATCATTATATTTGTTTGATCGAATAAAATATTATCATTTATGCGTGTGTTTTTTTCTAATATTTCATATAAATCATGTAACTTATTATTAAGTTTTAGCATAAATGGGTAGAAAATTATCTTATTGAGGTAATAAAATGTTTTCGGTTTAAGAAAAGGTGATTGATTTCACTTTACAAACATTAGTCTATTATTGCATACATAGATATAATGCAAAAGCAACAAGAAATTATTGAATAAAAGAAAAAAATATTAAAAGAGAGAGATAACTCCATAAATTGATCATTAACTCAATTTTTAGTTTCCACTGTTGACCATCATCCCAGCAGCTGAAACTTTCATCCCATAACCATGCCCGTGATGAAAGTGGCCGCCACCACCTTCACCGTTACTCTCCAAACCCGCTCCACCCACCTCCACGACATCGTTCCCCACCTCGCGATCTCCCTCAGCCGCAGCAACAACATCATCAGTCGGTGGTGGCCTGTCCAGCCTGTTGGTGTAAATGCTCGTAGCCACCGAATCCACCATCAGCGTCACCAGAGTCGACAGCATGGCGGCGAACCCGGTGAAGGGGAACTTGTGCCAGGGATTCTCCGACAGGCAGTGCGACGACAACATGTCGAAGGAGTCCGGCAACACGTGCATGAACCTGGTGTCTGATATGATCCCCGAGGCGAAAAGCCTTCACGATCACGAAAGGGCTCTTCTCCGAGTCCAGGGCCGGCACCGACCGCGTTGCAAGCGGGAGGCACACGTCGACGATGCTCTCCGCCAGGATGGCGGAGGCGGCGATGAGCTTTAGCGGCAGCAGGGCGCGTGAATTTTCGATGCACCCATTTGTCGTCGAGGATGATTCATGGTCCACGCCGCAAGTGTCCTACCCCGCGGACGAGGCGGCGACGGAGATGAGTTTCGTCATCATTGTGGTGAGTGAGATGATGAGTAGGGTTGGATTTGCTCTGGCCTCCATTTTGGACTTGGAGATGAAGATTGTTTTGAATACATAGCAGTACGGAGTTGGAGGTATTCTACAGAGAGGCTGTGGAGGAGAGAAAATGACGGGGGGAATTTGTCGGGTTGCTAGTTGTGATTGAATGTTTTGAGGTTTGAGTGTGGAAAATGATTGAACGAATGAGTTGCCACAAGCTGGAATATGAGGTTAGTGGGGACGGACACGTGTGTGGAAGCACACATGGCTGGTAGAATGGCGCACCATGTCATAGAGAAATTTTATCTTGGGAGGAGGTCAAGTTTGCACACGCACAGGTCCGACACCATGTGCTTAATAGAGACATATGGGGTTATTCTAACAAATGATCTCCCGATTAAAAAAGGCTCTGATACCATGTGAAGAACCAGTTATTCTAAATAACTCGAGTTATTGAGAGGAGTTCAATTGTGTATCATATACCGTTTATTAATGCATGCACCCCCCCAAACTCAAGCCACTAAGATAGGTCTGGAGTTTGTACAGCTAAACAGGCACAGATCTGGATACACAATGTGCTTAACTTAATATATGAGGATTATCGAGATTCAAACAGAAAACCCCACTATTACGAAAGAACTTAATATCATGTAAAAAATCAGTTAATCTCAATAACTCGACCTGCAGACTACATGGCAGCAAGTCAGCAACAACACACTTGATTCCATCTCCCAACACCTCCTGTCACTCATGTTATATATCATTCGCCCCAACAAAACCCTTTTCCTTCACCGCCACCTTTAGCTTCAACTCTTCCTCGACTCCCTGGTCGTTACTCCCACAGCTCGACTCAGCGTCAACCAATATCGCAGCGGTCTCGCCTTTCTTGTTCCCCTGCAACTTGTGCTTGCCAACATGCTCCAGGACCTGTTCTAGATTGCTTCGAAGCAAATTCGCTGTTGCCTCATTGGTCTGCGCCACACCCCTCCAAATCCGATTCTCGACACACAAGCTTCTGAATTTCTCTTTGAGATCACAGTTCCGCTTCTCCAGCCTCTGAATCTCGTTATCTTTCTCCCTCAATCGCTTCACAATCCCTTCCTGTATCGCTTCCACCATCATTCTAGATTGCCTCCTCTTCCTCTCTTCTAATTCTATCCTCATTCTGAGCGTCTGGTGATCACAAATAATAATAATAATAATAATAATAAGCAGATAATCATAATCCAATCCCGTTTGAGCACGTACAAGAATCACATAATTAAAAGGATTTTTACAAAATAACAGCCTTTCTATAAAATGTTGTCAATATACAAACACTTACCATAAAACGTCCCAAAATATACGAGTTTCACGCAGTTCGCTGGAGTGTCCTATATTCTAGATACTAGTTCGTTGGAGTATATAGTGAATTAGTGTGGATTGCCGCCGGCAAAAGTGAACTAGCCTTGAACCAGCGATCTAGCCCCCAAATTGTAAATTTGTGCTTGGTCGAATAACGAAGCACAATTTGTTTTTGTCTCTAAAAGTTATGCGGAATCAAAAACAATTTTACTATGATTGGATAATCGAGCACACAATTAATATCATTTAAAGTATACGTATTATGATTTTTGGGGCACGATCGCTTTAGTAGACCGCGATCTACCAAACGGTTTGCTCCGATCCTTAGCAAACCAGTACCTAGATTGCTCGACACTAAATTTGTGTATTTTGTGAATATCTTTTTGTGCAAGTGTGGTGTTGTCATAATGTTTTAATCGAAGTCTGATATTTTGAGGCGAAATTAATCCAAATTAAATTGACATACCGGTTCAACGATGAAGCGGCGGAATTGGGATGGCTCTTGTTGAGTCTCTAAGCTGATGATGTCTTTGTTGCCCGTTGAGGACGGGAGACCGGAGAATTTGGTCTTCTGATGAGAGACCACCTTGTAAGGGCCGATTAACTCAGCGGAAGGGTCCCTGCACCTGTAGCGACGCTTCCTAGTGGCGAGTGGGGGATTCATCACGATGTGCCTGGAAGTGAGTCCAATTTCCGAGTTGTTGTTAGTAATGGTAACGGAGGTGGTCTTAGCAGGAACGGGATCGGAATCGACGACTGGTTGGTACATGGGGATATCATTTCCTTGAACGGATTTGAATAAGTCCCTGAAAAAAAAAAGGATATTAAGGACAAGATGGAGCTATAAAGGATGAACAGAGGATGGAAGCAGAGCAGGGGATTGCCGTACCTGTTGTTGTTGGCGTTGTTGTTAAGGAGAGAATGAGAACGAGAAGGGAAAATGGCAATTGGAGGAGGTTGGATCGCCATGTTTAAAAGATTTTAGAGGCTTCTACGAGGTTGTGGTAACGAACAAGACGAATTTGATGGATTTGGTCTTCAATAGCATAGTGAAAAAAGATAGGGAAGATACGGACATGAATATATAATGTGTAGAGAAGCATGCAAGAATAACATGGATGAAGATAGAGAAAGGAAGTCAAAAAGAGTAATACAGAGAAAGAAAGTGATTTAATAAAAGAGAGGATTGAATGAAAGAATTATAAAGATAACTAATTAATTGATTGATATTTTATAACACAATATAATAAATTAAAAAGAAAAGGTTGCACTTTCTTATTAAATAATTGTAAGAAAAATTTACTTTCTTTTTGGGTATTTCACTTTTTCATGAGGTTCCCATAAAATCATACTTTTTGCAGAATTGGTGAGAGGAAATAAGGAAAAACCATGTTGCTGATTTTCTTCCTTATATATTTGTGTTGTATGTTACCTTCCAACTTTTATAATAATCACATAGACCAAGTAAGTGAAATGATGAGATAGAAAAATTAATTCCTTTTTTTCACGTTATCTAGTTACCTTACAACCGTACTACGAAATGACTTCTTACAATTGCCTTGTTGAACTCATTCTTATTAAAGAGTCTTCATTTTTAACCCAATAAATCGGTTTAGAATTTTGTAACTATAAATGCTTTTGGTGTTGATATCTCAACCAATAAACAAATGTTTAGTTATTGTATTAATCCTTAAATTTATATTTTTCTACCAATACATTCAACTATTAAAAAAAAAATCAGACTTTGCTTGATCAATGCCTAGTCTGGCCAGTGGTTGATGATACGTATCTTCTACAAATACTTCTCTAACATTCACATGTGTCATAGAATACGTCTACATCGTCAAGTTTCTATCAAGATCTTTTGTTATATAATACTTGCTTTATTTGATAGACGTATACATTAAAGATGAGAGAATGTTTGATAGTTAAAAATACAAATATTATAGTTCATTTTTGAAAGTCAATTGATCGTCAAACAACTGTTTTCTCTGTTTACATCATTATATTTGTTTGATCGAATAAAATATTATCATTTATGTGTGTGTTTTTTTCTAATTTTTCATAAAAATCATGTAACTTACTATTAAGTTTTGGCATAAATGGGTAGAAAATTGTCTTATTGAGGTAATAAAATGTTTTCGGTTTAAGAAAAGGTGATAGATTTCACTTTACAAACATTTTCTATTATTGCATACATAGATATAATGCAAAAGCAAAAATAAATTATTGCATAAAAGAAAAAATATTAAAAGAGAGCGATAGCTCCATAAATTGATCATTAACTCAATTTTAGTTTACAAAAAAATTGTCCACCTTGGCAACTTGTGAGTTCTCCAAATGCTTATGTGGCAATAAGTAACTTTTGAACAACCATAATATATAGTAAGATAAGATAAGATGCCTAGTTCTCGCAAAGATGTAAAATGGCCAATAAACTTCTCATACTTAACAGAACTTGGCAGAGCATTAGAATACTGTAGCACGCGCGGAGGATCGAAGCAAGCAGAGTTGAGTTGCAAATAGATTTGTAGGTGGTGGTGGCGGCATTGCCTAAGGGGCAGTGTTGGGTCAAGCATTGAGACACACGGCCCAAGGTCACTAAAAGCCCACAAGTAAATAGATCGGCCAATGCAGTCAAAATCGCGCTTTAAAACTTAAAAATTTACGATTTTACGCTTTTGGGTAACCAAAACGCTTTCGTTTCCATATAAAAACTTAAGTGCATAAAATCGGACTAAATTGCGCTTTAAAGCTTAAAAACTTACGATTTTACGGTTCTAATTCACCAAAACGCTTTACGTTTTTACGCTTTTAGTTCACCAAATGAGTATTCTTTTCATGAAATTAATTATAAAAAGTATATTTTTTAAGTAAATCACTAACAATATGATACATTTGAGATTAAAAGATACATACTAGGTACTTGGATGCATTCTCAACTTCAATAGAGTAATCTAATTCACCAGCTAGGCTTTTTCTAAATTCATTAGCATAGAGGGAAAAGTGGCTTATCGTTAAAATTTATGTTTACGAACTTATTATTAAGATGCTATAAGTTGCTCTACTTTAAGCATGAATCCCATGTATTTATTAACTTGACTAAATTCTGTGCATTCATATTTTGCATAGCATATGTCCTACTTAATAGTTTTTTAGTTATTTTTCAGTATGCGTTAAAAACTTAGGCTTTTACGCTTTGATTATACGCTTTACGATTTTACCCCTTTTCCGCTTCTAGGTAGAATCACGTTTTTAACTGCATTGATCGGGCCCAAACAGGGCCAGAAATATACCGAATTCCCACCAGAGGCGGTACGTCCAAGGTCTAGGCGAGACCGCCCGACATAAGGGTCTAACAGACTTCTGACTC